GGTCCCAAAGGGAATGAAAATTAGAAGTGTTCCTCGTGATGAACATTGTGTGTGGGATTACCACTTGACTAGTTTTACCAGCTAGTTGGATTTTTCTTCTTTCACCAAGTGTAATCAGCGGCCACAGTAGTTGTCGTAATTTTGCATTGATGGTCTTTTGTCAAACCATCTTTGTTGATACATATTATGTACATGAAGGGATTGTTGTACGTTGAATGGGCTGGTATGCATGAAATGTGTCATGGTGTAAGCTGTCGAAAATAGTTCTATGTAAACCGAAAGGTAGGCTCAGACTAAGGGCCACCCCCCCCCCCCACACACACACACAAGCACGCACAAGTAAATACACAACTCCATTCCCCAGAATAGCTGCTTTCGGCATCACAGCAGATCGCACTAAGACAACAAAGTTTACTAACTGTTGAAAAAAACATTTTTCTTGTAAAATTAAGTGCCAGCTTGTTTATAGATCCAGACATCTACTCCTATGTTATGATTTTTCCACAACTAAACATAGAAGTGTACAAGTAAAATGTAGTCCATCTACAAACAAGTCGAATTAAAAAAAAAATTGAAACACATCAACATTCTCTCCCAAACCCCCAAGTGCAGATTTCATCTCCCTCTCACCTTGTATCAGTAAATCATAATATTATAACCAACCCAAACAATAACACATCCCTTTCTCTGGTTATATAACCGAGAGAAACTTAGACGAGGGGAGATAACAGGTATGCGACAAAATGTTTCCCTGTATTCAGACATTGTTACTGCCCATCAGTACCCAGTCTTGAGGTGGGAAGTGAGTCCGTGTTGCAATGTTGAGCAATGTCAGTGACATACACTTCAGGCGAGTTGCCGCTGGGGGGTGTCCTTAAGCATGACAAGACAACTCTAACTACCTAACTACCCCCAATCCCCCCAATCCCCCTTTAAAAAAGTAAGAAACAGACCACTTCAGGCAGGACCAACGGTGATGTAAATCTACTATTTAACGTGTCCGTACGTGTATAACACTGTTTATGTTATGTAAAATTGATGTCATGTTGGAACTATTTTTTATGTATGCGTTTTTCTTGCCATTCTAACCCAAAGTTCACCATGGTAATCAATTATTATCATAATTATTTCTTTATCCATTTATTTTATCACTTCTTTCGAGCAATCGACGTATTTAATATTATAGCACCTTTGAGACGTATATAAACTTCAGTCACCAACACC